GGTTGTACGTGAACCCATGAACCTGGAGGTCACATGTCCTGGTTGCAGGCTCGATCCCCAGTAGGGGGCATGCAGGGGGCAGCCCATCAATGATTCTCTCTCACCATTGATGTTTCTATATCTCTCTCCATCTCTCTCTCTCTGAAGTCAATAAAAATATATTAAAATATTAAAAAAAATTTTATAGCCAATTAGTGAGTTTTTTAATGGCAGGAAATTTATAGATATGGGAAACCTAAAGTTAGAGAAGTTGAATGACTTTCCAAGTGGGAAAAAGCATAATAGGTACATGCCTAGATAATTTAATTCTTAGTTTACTCACTTACATTTTACTTTTCAATAAATAGAAGAAGTGTGAAAATAAAGAGCCCCAATAGATGTAAATATATATAGATGCTGAGGTATTATTAATCTGTTCATTGAGACCCAGGGAACTCTGAGCTATACACACCTTCAGTTTAATCAAGTTCAACACTATGTTATTCATTTTTGGGAAGAGAAAGATTTACTTCTTTGGAAGTGCAGAGTAACTTTTTCATTTCTACCTACATCTTAAATGTTTGCCATTAATAATACATAAACCCTAAAAAGGAAACTGCTTCATTTTTCCATTAAAAGAACATAACCAGAAATATGCTATAAGCTTAAGTACATTGACACAAATATCTTAGATCATGTTTAGAAGTGAAATTTACTTTGAAGATGAGTAGATTTTGTGAAATAACTAGAGGCTCAGTGCATGAAATTTGTGCATGGGTAGGGTTCCTCGAGACTGCCAATTGCCTGCTTTGACCAGGGCTTCCCTTCCCCTGGCTGCCTGCCTCTGCTTCTGGCTGGGGTGGGGCCAGCCAAGGGGGAGGGGCCATGGGCGGTTGGCCAGCTGGCCCCACCCCCTGGTCGAATTCTCAGTTAAAGGGACAGTTAGCATATTAGGCTTTTATTATATAGGATAATAGTTCATTGCATTCTTAAGCATTCCAAATAGTTTTCTCTCCCTTTCACCCCCAAGACCCCATTAAAAAGTGTGAGTTCTGGAGTCCCCAAATTGCTTCATTTTTAAAAATTTTCTTTTGATTTTACTACCTCATTTTCACTGACAAATATATATATATATATATATATATATATATATATATATATATATATATATATATATATATATATATATTTTACTTTTGTTAAAAGGAAAAGTTAAAATTTACATTTCCACTTCAGCTCTATAGCCATCTTAAGAGCTGGAGCTGATTATTCTGGTGACATAGAAGATATAATCATTATCTTGGAGAGGGCCAGATATCATTTTTAAATAGTAGTTTCACCTCTCACTTCTGTGCAAATATTTACCAAGTTTTTATTGCAGCCTTGGTGACTTCTGGTTCCGCATTTAAAAGTTGAGCTGTCTATTGGCAATCGGTGATCATGTCTCAGAGGGCTTAGGTTTCTCCAAATCAGAACAATTTCCTCCTTTCCTTTCAAAAGATATCTTGTAGGTAGCCCTGGAATACCCTCCCCATGTCTTTTCACAGTGTAGAGTTATTCAGAGATGCATCTAATAAAAACCCCCACACAATTTAAAACATTGAAAGTCAAGAGTCATTCCACTGAATTACACCAATTAGTTAACAGTTATCATGTGTATTTATGTATGTGCATGTGAATTGTGGGAAGAGTTCTTAAAAAACTCGGTTGTTGGCCAACTAAGGTAGATGTTTGAACTGTCCCAGAGAAACATACAATCTAAGCAGATGCCATGTGCTGGCTATGGAGATGCATCTTTAGGTGTGTTCCCTGGCTCTCTCTTGTGACCACATTGCTAACTCTGACCCATCTTACACGGACATTCTGGAGGCACCACTGTGGGCAGAACCACAGTTAACAAGAATAAGATCTGATAAAAAAACAGGAGACTGGAAGAAAATAAAAATGCTATTGGTTTTTTTTTTTAATGGTATTTAAAATTCTTGTGAAGCATCTACTTTCAAAACAAGCCAGACTCCTTGACTTTAAAATCTGCTTCTGAACCACTTTTCTCAGTTGTTGAGGAAATATTATTTCTTTAAAAAAAAAAAAAAATATATATATATATATATATATATATATATATATATATATTATTGTTTTCTTATAGAAAGGAAGAGAGAGGGAGAGAGAGTCAGAAACATCTATGAGAGAGAATCATCGATCAGCTGCCTCTTGCACACCCCCTACTGGGGATGTGCCGCAATCAAGGTACATGCCTGCAATCAAGGTACATGCCCTTGACCGGAATCGAACCTGGGACCCTTCAGTCCGCAGGCTGACGCTCTATCCACTGAGCCAAACCAGCCTGGGCTAGCAAATATTATTTCTAAGTGTGAGCTGCTGAGACAGATTTACTCTTGAGCAAAACAATAATGTATCTTCTTCAAGTTTTTGAACAGCCTTTACTGCCCTGGTCTGTAATACCATTAGCACTTACCTCTTCCCTTTTGTTTTCTTGTCTCAGATCTCAGCAAAATGATTTGTGTGAATGCCGGGTACATAAAAGAATTTATGACATTGTTTGAGGAGACCTTTGCTCCTTTTATTCACTGATGTACTACATATACCTAAAATACAGTAGTTGCTCAATAAGTATTTGTTGACTGAATGAATGGTGATTTTTCCTGACTTTGGAACTGAACATCTGTAGGTGTATGGTGGAGAGTTACAGGGAACGGAGGAGCCATGAATGCGGTTCTGTTGTTTTGCTTAAAGGGTGTATTAGTTTCTTAGGATTGCCATGGCAAATTACCACAGACTGGGTGGCTTAAAACAACAAATTTATTTTCTCACAGTTCTGGAGGCTAAGGTCTGATCAAGATGTTGGCAGGGCCATGCTTCCACCAAAGGCTGTAGGGCAGACTCTGTCCTTGCTTCTTCTAGTTGTGGTGGTTGCCGGCCAACCGTGTCCCAATAATATAAACTCTAGTGTCTGCCTCTGTCTTCACATGGCCATCTTTCCCTCTTTTTATAAGAACACCAGTCACTGATGAGGGCCCACTCTAATCCGATAAGACCTCATTTTAATTTGATTAATATCTACAAAGACCCTGTTTCCAAGTAAGGTTCTGGAGGGACACACATTTTTGGAGGGATGCTATCAACTCAGCACAAGATGGTTGCATAGAATGTCAAATACGAGATAATCTCAGATTTTAAACTGTTGGTATAAAGTTTAGGGCTGCCCCTTATTGTACTCACAATGTTAACACGTCTGGGATGATGCCAGTCTAACTTCAGAGAGGAAATTTTTGGAGAGCACAGATCAGGCCTATGTGGTTCACTATAGTATGCCCAGGCCAAGCACAATTTCTTAATAATTACAATCTTAACAACATGTTGTTAAGTGCTCTATTACTCTGTCTGTATCATCTCAATCACATAGTAAGTGCTCAATAAATATTTGTAGATTGGATACTCTTGGGGTGAACTGAATATATGCATGAATGCAAGCTTTTATTTCTGGTATCCTAGAAGAAATTAAATAATACTTGCTGAAGAGAAAGTAAGTTCTACCATTGAGAAATTCTCTTCTTTGATTTGGGAATTGATATTGTGGTAGATATCATTAGGAGCCATGTTGAAGGATGTTGACTATCTGCTCTCTTATGTGAGAGCAGTTTATTTTTGAGTTTATTTTTATTCTTCTGGTTCAAGGATACTGTGCTGAGCTGGACAGCCATCGTCCTTGCCTTCTGGAAACTTCTCTCTGGAATTAGATGGCATCATAGCAAATGCTCAACTCCGTCAGGACAGTAACATACCCGGGTCAGCACTAAGAAACAAAGTACCATTTGACCTTCTCCAGTGAATTTGTCTGGAAGACTGGAAACTCTTATCTAACAGTACCCAATTTCTCTCCCTTTAGGACCACTGAAGCCAGAAATAACTGTCTCCTACATTGCTGTTGCAACAATATTCTTTAACAGTGGACTATCATTAAAAACAGAGGTACTGTCACCCATGGGGCACATGAAAAGCAGGGAGAAAAATTCAGTTTGTATTTAACATTTTAAAGTTTCAGAATCCTTTTGTAAAGCTGTGTGCAGCTGTAGTCTGACGGCTCCACTGTAACAGAAGGTAACTTTGACTTCAGCACAGGACTTGTGTTTTGTACGTACGTATTCTACAAACCTTATAATAGAGCAGCATGGAAGCTGAAAATGGTGTGTTTTTAAGATGGCAGCTGAAGTGATGCCTCTCCTTCAGCTCTTTCTCAGATTATGGTGGTAACGATAGGGGTGCCTTCTGTGGCCACTTTAAGTTGTAGATGTTTATTTGGTCTTCCATAACTTTGTGGATTATCTTTTGTTCCCAGGACTGATGCTGTACAGGTGATACTTGTTAAATTTTTTTTAAAACTAATTTATATTTTTACAAATGTATATTCTTTGCTAGTACTGTATAGTTACTAAATGTTAATAGATGTTTTGAGGAAATATTAGTACTTTTTATACTAAATCTCACTCTACCATGAAGCTAAACAGGTAATGTGATTTATTGATCCAGGTGTCACTGAATATGGGATTCCTTGGAATTAAATATCCAGACATTTTTATACCTGAGATAGGAATGAGTAGAATATATGATTCCCTTTTGACTTATAATAGAAAAAAAAATAGGAGAAAATACTCATTTGCTTTTGAGAAAATTACAGAGTTGTTTTTTTTTTTGTGTTTTTTTTAAAATATATTTTATTGATATTTTACAGAGAGGAAGGGAGAGAGATAGAGAGTTAGAAACGTCGATGAGAGAGGAACATCAACCAGCTGCCTCTTGCACACCCTCTACTGGGGATGTGCCCACAACCAATGTACATGCCCTTGACCAGAATCGAACCTGGGACCCTTCAGTCCGCAGACCTATGCTCTACCACTGAGCCAAACCGGCTTCGGCTACATAGAGTTTTAAAAGTCATCATGCTAAGCTGCTTAGTCTTACATAGACAGGTTAATTTTACTATGAAAGTTTTTTTTTTTTTTTTTTTTTTTAAGGAAATGATTTTAAAACACAATTCTGTTTGTGCATCATATCTTGCCTTTACTTCAAGTATCTTTCAGTGTGATTTGAATGAAGGTCAAATTTACTTACCTCATTTTTGATCGTTCTAGTAGCAACACAGAAAAAAAAAATATGGTTTTACTAAATTTATGCACTCTATAGGTAGCAGGTTGGTATAAATCTTTCTATTGGGGTCATTTGGGATATAGATGGGATCCATGTGTAGTATCTACGACAGATGAATGTGTCAGAATGCTAAATATCCTCACTGATGTCTTCTGAAAATAGCTGACATGGATGGGATTTCCTAAATATGTCAAATTCCAGTTTTTGTAAATTATATTGATAAGGAAGCACTGTGATTAGTACTTAGAGGACGTAGGCTTTACCTGTCAACACCAGAGTGCTATTGGTCCTCAAATGGGTACAGAACTTACCACTCCTTTGCTGCTGGTCTCATCTTCCTTGAGGTCTTCCTGCCGGTCTTGATTTATGCTTTGTGAAGCAGCTGCCTCATCCAAGTCCTCTACTTGGGAGGTTGCTCTAACTAACGCCCCCTGGTGGCTTCTTAATGGTTACAACTGTTGCTTGTGCTATGGGAAATCTGGCAAGAGACGAGATTTCTCAGCTTCTTCCTTAATGCTGTTCTGTAAAGCAGCCAACTTTGTGGGATGCTGAAATTGAATAAGGAAGGTCACAGTTATCAGCATTTCTCTAAGGACCAGATTTTCTGTAAGCACCTAGGAAACCTTCAGAGTCATCTAACTAGTTTGATCTAATGATGAGCTGCCTGGATCCCTGGGCTTTGTTTTGTCTCTAAGAAGCCATCAGAACCATTTCCCCTATGAAAGACCCTTTTGAAACGAATACAACATTAAGTTATTTCCTAGATCCATTTAACTTAAGATGCCCTAGAATGCATCTTTGTGTAATGTTAAATCATCTCTAAGCCCTGCTTATTTCTTGGGCAACTGAACAGTTGTAAGTTAGAAGGTAGCAATCTAGTTATTTGTTTCCTAGTTAATAATCTTAAATTAATTACAATCGGGACAACTATTTTTGTATCCTTTTAGGTCTTAGAATCGTGCATTTTTGCACACAGAAGACGGTGAGTTATTATTGACTTGAGTTTATTTGAAAGATTTACTGTGGTCCCATTCAAATTTGATACATATTGAACATCAGACATTGATGTAATGATGTGTATTCTAAATTTGTTTTGCTCATAAATTATAAAGAACTCTGTTTTAATACTTCATACTAAAAAGATTTAACCCCACATCTTCAGTTTTTTTAACTGTTGATTTCTAGTTTTTGAAATACGTGTTGAAATGGTTTCTGAAATCTTATTATACTGAAATGTAATAATGTCAACATTTGAGATATATTTTATATATAGCTAACTTCAAACCTACAGTTTCAGAGGATTTATCACTTAACAGACCATAACAGGACCAATTTATTTACTAAACAAATAACCTATCAAGTGCCTCTCACTACAACACACTGTGCGTGGCACAAGGGAAGAAACAAAGATGAGCAGGATTTTATGGTGTTACTTGCTTTTTCCTTTCCAGTGTTACCTTATTTTCTCTTTCCTGTTGTATGAAGAGCTAGAAAATCTATAATTCTAGGTTTTTATGACAGTCTTGAGAATATTTCTTAGGAAACACTTCATGTCTGTTATTTCCCTGTTGTTAAGAGGTCCCTTATGACCCAACACAGCAGACTCTTGGGATTCATTTTGCTGAGTTCTTACTGATCCATTATTCTGATGTGATATCAATTGTTTCTAATTGTCATTTATTAGGTCATGCAGTAATCTCTAACTGCATTTTATTTTTCATAACTCTTTTCTTATTATAGAAGTGGTATTTCCCTATTGCAGAAAGATTAGAAAGAGTGAAAAATAACTGTTCTAACATTTCTGTGCTTTTTTAGTTCTTTTTTTTCTTAAACATATTTTACATATAGAATGTTTTAAAAATAAAATATTTTTAACTTTATATATATGTATATAGATATACACAAGTTTTTCATGCAATTTAATACTGTTATTTAATTTTTCTTCACTTATTCATTGAAAAATAAAATAATTTACATTTTGTTTACTTTTATCTATATAAATCAATTACAATTAATAAATCAAAAGGACAAAAGTACCTATGATGAAAAGTCTTCCTTACACCCCTTTACCAGCTATCTCTCCTGTTCTCTTCTCTGGAGATAACAGTTTCTGTGTATCTTTCCAGAGATATTCTGTGCAGAACATTCAGATGTGTATCCACCCCTATATTTTTTAATTTATATTTTAAAAATATATTTTATTGATTTTTTACAGAGAGGAAGGGAGAGGGACAGAGCTAGAAATATCGATGAGAGAGAACTATTAACCAGCTGTCTGATGCACACCCCCTACTGGGGATGTATCTGCAACCAATGTACATGCCCTTGACCAGAATCGAACCCGGGACCTTTCAGTCTGCAGACCGACGCTCTATCCACTGAGCCAAACCGGTTTCAACTATCCATTCACCCCTTTAAACTGTTATTTTATACTGTTTGCTAATTTACCTTATTTAACTCAGGAACCTATCTTGGAGATTATTTTATATCAACATGTAAAGAACTCCCTGTTTTCTTTGTGTATCCTGAAAAGTACTCCATTTTATGAATGTGTCATGATACATTTTCCTGGGCCCCTATTGATGGACATTTAGGTATTTACAAGGTTTTGCTGTTATAAACACTCTAATTTACTTTTGAGAAAAGTTACACCATTTTATATTAATATGAGAAGTATATGCAAATGCCTTAATTACTGAATTGTGGCTAATCATTTTATTACAATTCAAACAATTGAAAACTCATATGTATTTGGTATTTCTTGAATGCCTCTGAGTATATCTGAGTGAGATTTGGTTTCAAGACTGCTGAGAATTCTGGGAATTGCTGGTGCTCAAGTGTCTCTGGATCTCTGGGGTGAAACTTCTGATTCAGAGCAAGGATGGCTCCTTTTCTCTTAGCTCTGATCTATGGACCTGGTATGGCTTCTAGTCTGTCCAGTGTTTCCCTACATTAGTCCCAGATTGCCGGAAGCTCCTTAGATATCGTTAAGAACATCTTGTGACCGAAATGGAACTGCTTCTGTGTCTTCACATAGGGAGATAAATAGTGAGAGCCTCTGAGACAGATCCTAGAGGTGGTGGTCAGTGAATGTGTCTGCACCGACCTACTGTTCATTAAACTATAAACTCTGTCTCATGAGGCTGAGGCTATTGAAAGTCTTGCTTGAACTGGTGGGATCCGGGACATTATTATTACAGTGACTCTTTCTGGCAACTTTGAATGCACTTTAATGAGTGCCTGAATGTTTTATGTCAGTTTTCTACTACTTTCTGAATGTGTTTTATTTCCACTGAAAAACCACACAACTCAAAGAAATTCAAATGCAAACTCTTGTTAGTTAGTATATATTTAAACCCTCAAATTTAACTGAGTACCTTTTAGTTGTGAGCCTCATAACATGTGCCTGGCTTGTCTGTTTGATGGGAATCTTTTCCCTCCCTGGCAGTAGGATGACAGGTTTATTGGGTTTGATTCCAAGCTTCACTGAATAGTAGCTCTCAACCTCAAGTTCCTTATCAATAAAACAGGAAAAATAACATCCACCTAAAGGGGTTGATGTGAGGACAAAATGAGATGACATACATAAACTGGCAAACTCAGAGAATGGCATATAACTGCCATTCAGTAAATGTTAATAAATTGAGTGAGTCGATTTTGTGGAAACAGCGTTTTTAATTATAGAATACTAGAGGCCTGGTGCACGAAATTCGTACATGGGGATGCATGTCCCTCTCACAATCCAGGACTGCTGGCTCCCAACTGCTTGCCTGCCTGCCTTCCTAATTGATCCTAACTGCTTCTGCCTGCCAGCCTGATCACCCCCTAACTGATGCCCTGCCAGCCTGATTGCCCCAAACCATCCTCCCCTGCAGGCTTGATTGCCCCCAACTGCCCTCCCTTGCATACTTGGTCTCCCCCAACTGCTCTTCTCTGCTGGCCTGATTCCCCACAACTGCCCTCCCTTGCAGGCCTGATCCCTCCCAACTGCCCTCCTCTGCTGGCCATGTTGTGGTGGCCATGTTGTGGTGGCCATCTTGTGTCCACATGGGGGTAGCCATCTTGTGTGTTGGAGTCAATTTGCATATTACTCTTTTATTAGATAGGATTGTTGAGAGGAACATTTTAAAAAATATGATTGGTGTGTAGATTTAGTAACACTTGCCAAATTGAGGTTAATTATCATATAAAATTGTGACAGGTTTGCCGAAACCGGTTTGGCTCAGTGGTAGAGCATCGGGCTGTGGACTGAAAGGTCCCAGGTTCCATTTCGGTCAGGGGCATGTATTATATGTTGGTTGCGGGCACATCCCCGGTAGGGGGTGTGCAAGAGGCAGCTGGTCGGTGTTTCTCATCGACGTTTCTAGCTCTCTATCTCTCTTCCTTCCTCTCTGTAAAAAAATCAATAAAAATATATTTAAAAAATAAAAAACAAAAATAAAATTGTGACAGGTTTTCCTAAAATTTTAAGTAAGATTTCTTTTTTTCCAGTGGTTAAACATACATGTTTGTTGCAGTGTCAACAGTTTTGAAATATACCAGTATGCAATTTAGTCCTGGTCCAGAATTTCACAAATCTGAATTATTGTGATATATTGTATATTTTAAACCAATTAGAATATTTCAGAAATTTTATATAAAAATAATAATCTTCATAAATAACTTCATAACCATCATCAACTTTTTTCTTAAAGTTTGTCTCTTTTGCAATAACTTTTTTAAAAAAAAATTGTCTCTTAATACTTATGCATAATCTTTTATGCATAGGTAAAAACATTTAGCTATGAAATAACTTCAAATTGATGGATGTAGCCCGACTTATTGTGTTGGTCAATTTACAATATCCATATAAAAGCCTAAATGACTGGCTGACTAGCCAGTAGCTATGATGCCCAATTACCACTCGGGGGCAGATGTTCAATGCAAGAGCTGCCAAGCTGCGGTAACTTGGCAGCTGCAGTTCTCGGGTAACACACCTGGAACCAGAGAGGAGGGAACCTGATTCTGTGGTGCATCACCTGAGTACCACCCTCTTGCAATCCAGGACCCCTCAGGGGATGTCAGAGAGCCAGTTTCAGCCCAATCCTTACAGGCCAGGCCGAGGGACACCACTGGTGCACAAATCTGTGCACCAGGCATCTAGTATATAAATATTGAATCATCATGTTATACATCTGAAACTAATATAATGTTATATATCAATTATATCTCAATTAAAAAAAGCAATTTGTGTGATGTTATTTTAGTGCCAACCTATCTTCAGAAATGGTTTTCTTACTTTTTTTTTAATCTTGTGTCCTTTTTTGCAGGAGCTGACCAGTGCTTTAGTGCATATACGACTGCATTTTTTCATTCAGATCTTTACGCTTGCATTCTTCCCAGCAGCAATGTGGCTTTTTCTTCAGCTTTTATCAATCACACCGATCAATGAATGGCTTTTAAAAGGGTATGTTTAAATATTTTGAAGAGTCTACTTTTTAATTAATTAATTAATTTTTAAATTGTTGATGTCCCTCTCTTTCCCCCAATGTATGCCCCTGTCCACCCAGCCTCATTCTTCTACCTTCACTACATTGTTGTCTGTGTCCATGTGCTATGCAGGAGTGTCCACTTTTAATGGGACATCTGTAGAGACATTGTTTCTGTAGCAACTTATGAGTGATATCTTATGAGAAAACAAAAACACTTTTAACATTATTATTACTATCCTTCCTCTTAAGGAATTTAAAAGAGTTGTGGGAATTTAAAAGAGTTGTGTTGGGAGAAAACTGGAAGGGACCAAAGAGATGTAAGATCTGTATGAATGTATGTATAAATATCGGCTGTCCATTGAGTGCTTTAACTTTTGTGGTTTAATCTTACCAAATGTACAGAGATAATAGCTTTAAAAATGTATAGAAAAGAAAAAATATATACAGGGACAAACATTTTACGTTTTCACTTGTTCTGTTTTATGCTTGATTGGGTAGTTGACTTAACAATAGATTTTT